TCAAAAACATATAGCAAAAGGAAAAACAAGGAAATTGAAATGGCACACAAGAAAATATCTGTCTAACAAAAATGAAAGTAGTAACATAGAAACAGAGGAAGAAAATAGACAGAAGATATGTAGAAAACAAATAGCAAAACAGAAGACATAAATTCTACCTTATCAGTAATTACATTAAATGTAAATGGATTAAGCTCTCCAATTAAAAGGGAGAGACTGACAGAATGGATTTAAAAAAAAAAGATCCATCTACATGCTGTTTAAAAGACACACAAGTTAGGGGCCGGCCCAGTGTGTAGTGGTTAAGTCCGCATGCTCCACTTCGGTGGCCTGGGGTTCATGGGTTCAGATCCCAGGAGCAGACCTACATACTGCTCATCAAGCCAGGCTGTGGCGGCCTCTCACGTACAAAATAGAGGAAGACTGGCAACAGATGTTAGCTCAGGGCTGATCTTCCTCACCAAAAAAAAAAAAAAAAATACAGAGACACACACACACTTTAGACTCAAGACATAAACAGTTGGAGAGTTAAAGGATAAGAAAAGTTATACCATGCAAATAGTAACCAAAAAGAGAAAAAAGAGCTGGAATGGCTAGACTAATACCAGAGAAAACAGACTTTAAGACAAAGATCGTTACTAGACACAACAAAGAGCATTTTATAATGATAAAAATTAATCCATCGAGAAGATAAAACAGTTGTAAGCATATATGCACATAAGTACAGAGTCTCAAAATACATAAAGCAAAAAATGATGGAATTGGAGAGAAAGAGATGATTCAATAATACTACCTGGAGACTCGAATACTCCGATTTCAATAAGGGATAGAACAACTCGGGAAAATACCAGCAAGGAAACAGAAGATTGGAACAACGCTAAAAAAATACCAGCTAGACCTAAAAACGTCTTTAGAACATTCCGCCCAAAACAGCAGAATACTCATTCTTTTCAAGCACACATGGAATATCCTCTAAGACAGACCAAATGTTAGCCCATAAAACAAGTTTCAGTAAATTTAAAATGACTGAAATCGTAGAAAGTATGTTCTCTGACTACAGTGGAATGAAACTAGAGATCAAGAACAGAAAAAAAGTTGGGAAATTCACAAATGTGGAAATTAAATGACTACCCCATACAACCAATGGATCAAAGAAGAAATCACAAGGGAATTTAGAAAATACTTTGAGATGAACTAAAACAAAAATACAAAATACCAAAAATGAATGGATGAAGTAAAGTGGTGCTCAGAGGGAAATTTATAGCTGTAAATGCCTACAATAAACACAGAAGAAAGATCCCAAATCAATAACCTAACTTTCTACCTTAAGAAGCTAAAAAAGAGTAAACGCAACACAAAGCAAACAGAAGGAAGGAAATAATAAAGATTAGAGTAGAAACATAACACAACAGAGAAAATTAACAAAATCAAAAGTTGGTTCTTTGAAAAGATCCACAAAATTGGCAAACCTATAGCTAGACTAACCCAGAAAAAAAAAAGACTCAAATTACTAAAATCAAGAATGAAACAGGGGAGCTTACTACTGACCTTACAGAGATAAAAGTGATTAAGGGAGTAGTAAGAACAATTGTATGCTAACAAATGAGATAACCGAGGTGAAACAGACAAATTCCTGGAAAGACACAAGCTACCAAAACTGACTCAAGAAGAAACAGAAAATCCAAATAGGCCTATACCAGAGATTAAATTAGTAACCAAAAAGTTTTCCTTAAAGAAAAGTCCAGGATCATATGACTTCCTGGTGTATTCCACCAAATAAAGAAGAATTAACAACAATCCTTCACAAACTCTTCCAAAAAACAGAATAGGAAGAAACACTTCCCAATTCATTTTCTGATGCCCATATTACCCAGACAGTAAAACCAGACATAGATATCTCAAGAAAGGAAAACTAAAGGCAAATTTAAGAACAATTATGCTTCTAGCGGACAAAACGGAGAGTTGTTCAACTGGCATAAAGTTTAGTTATACACGATGCTCTACCGTCTAATTGTATACTGTATAACATAGTACCTAGCTAACAGTACTGTATTGTGCACTTCCAAATCTTCTAAGAGGGTAGATCTCATGTCAAGTGTTCTTACCACAAAAGGTGGGGGGGCAAAGACACATAAGGAAACTTTCGAAGGTGATGGATATGTCTATTATCTTGACTGTGGTGATGGCTTCATGGATATATGCACATGTCCAGATTCAACAAACTGCATACATTAAATATGTACAGTTTTCTGTATATCAATTATACCTCAATAAAGTGATTTTAAAAAGGAAACAATTGTGCTCCAAAGGACACCATCAAGAAAGTTGACAAGAAAACTCACAAAACAGGAGAATATATCCACAAATCATATATCGGACCAGGGTCTAGTCTCCAGAAAATATAAATAACTCTTACGACTCAACAGTAAAAAGACAAATAACCTAATTTAAAAATGGGTAAGGTTTTTGAACAACCTTTCCTCCAAAGAAGATATAAAAATGGTCAATAAAGACATAAAAAATGCCCAATCTCATTAGTCATTAAGCAAATGCAAATAAGAACCACAATGAGATACCACTTACACCCACTAGGATGGCTACTATCAAAAGTAAATAAATAAAAACAGAAAATATCAGGTGTTGGCGGGGACATGGAGAAATTCGAGCCCTCATAAATTGCTGGTAGGAATGTAAAAAGGTGCAACTACTTTGGAAAACAGTTGAGCAGTTCTTCAAGAAATTAAACACAGAGCTACCAAATGACCCAGCGATTCTATTCCTGGATATACACTAAATTAATTAAAAACATACGTTCACACAAAAATTTGTATAGTAATGTTCATAGCAGTTTGATTCATAATAACCAAAAGTGGAAACAACCCAAATGTCCATCAACTAATGAATGGGTAAAAAAGAAAATGTGGTTTACCCACACAATGGAATATTATTTAGCCATAAAAAGGAATGAAGTACTGATACGCATTACAATGTGGATGCATCCTGAAAACGTTACGTTAAGAAGTCAGACACAAAAGACCACAAAATTGTGTGATTCCATTTATGTGAAATGTTCAGAATGGGAAAATCTATGGAGGCAGAAAGTACAGTAGTGACTGTTAGGGATTAGGGCAAGGGGTGAATGGGGAGTGAAGGCTAATGAATGCGGGGTTTCTTTTGAGGTGAGGAAAATGTTCTGGAACAGGATAGTGATGATGGATGCACGACCTTGTGAATATACTAAAAACCACTGAATTTTATACATTAAACTGGTGAATTTTATGGTTTATAAGTTTCATCTCAGTTATAAAAAAACTAAATGATTCAAATATTTCAATTAAGAGACATCTTGAGAAAAAAAGTACATTTTGATTCCTTTTTTACATGATAAATTTGAGATGCATTAGAGAGATTGAATGTAAAATATTAAATCATCAAAATTAGAACTTAGTATAGAATATATTTGTATTCAGAAACTATAAAGAAAAAGATTAACAAATTTACGTATATTAAAATGTAAGGGGGCTGGTGTGGTGGCACAGCGGTTAAGTGCACACGTTCTGCTTTGGCGGCCCAGGGTTCGCTGGTTCGGATCCCGGGTGTGGACATGGCAACGCTTGGCAAGCCATGCTGTGGTAGGCGTCCCACATATAAAGTAGAGGAAGATGGGCACGGATGTTAGCTCCGGGCCAGTCTTCCTCAGCAAAAAGGAGGAGGATTGGTGGCAGATGTTAGCTCAGGGCTAATCTTCCTCAAAAAAAAAAAAAAGAATCTAGGTTTAAAAAAAAAATGTAAGACTTTTGAATGATACCAGCATAACTGAATTAAAAGAAAAGTAGTAGACAAGAGAAAATATTTATAAAATATATAACAAAGGATTAATATAGGGAATGTATAAGAGCACATAGAGAAAAGATAAATCAACAGAAAAGTGGCCAAAAGATATGAAGTAGTAACTCACGTAAGAAAAAATACAAATATTCAACAGACATTTGTAAAGTTATATGGAATCTCAATAATAATGTGAGGTGTGAATTTCTAAAATTACAAAACAGTGTCTTCCTATGCTAAAAAAAAGATTGCTTATAAAAAGCATTAGCAAAGTTGTGTGAAAATGAGTGGCAGCACGGACTATCAGTACAAGCGTAAATTAACATTACTTTTTTGGAGAACAATTGGCAATATTTTTCAAAACACACATATTTAAACACAGGAATTCCATTTCTAAGTATCTACCCTAGAAAAAATCTACACGTGTACACAGAGTGAAATGTAGAAGGACGCTCATTGCAGCCGTGCATATTATAGCAAAATGCTGGAAACCACCCAAACGCCCACCTGCAGAAAAATGGTTAGAATCGATCTGTTACATAGCCCCCACCTTTCCTGGAGACCAAAGAACAACGTAATTCCAGGGAAGAAATTAATTTTCAAAATAATACTCATAGTACCATCCCATTGATACAAAGCAAAATGAAACAAAAGTACCTTCTACACACCAAATTGTTAACACTGCTACGTCTGCGAAGCAGGCTGGGTTAGGAAGGGGTGAAGTGGACCTCCAGTTTTGAATTTATGTACCATGTTATTGTTTGAAGTTTTACAATATGAATTAAAAATCAGGGAGCCAGCCCAATGGCATAGTGGTTAAGGTCGTGCGCTCCACTTCAGTGGCCCCGGGTTCACAGGTTCAGATCCTGGGCGCAGACCTAGTGCTGCTTATCAAGCCACGTGGTGGCGGTGTCCCACATGAAATAGAGGAAGATGGGCACAGATGTCAGCTCAGTGACAATCTTCCTCAAGCAAAAAGGAAGACTGGCAACAGATGTTAGCTCAGGGCTGATCTTCCTCACCACACAAAAAATAGTAACAATAATAATAAACAAAAGACTTAAGCTAAATGTTAATTTGAAAAGTATATCCATTGTTTAAGCAAAACTGTTTAAATCTCATTTTAAATCTCAATTTTAACTCATAATAAAATATAAGAAGAAAATCCTTACCTTCCAAATTTTCAACTTTTTCAATGTTGTTTAAAGCTAAATTCAAATATTCAAGTTTCTTGAGTTTGCTAACATTTTCTGAAATATACAAATAATGTAATTAATGAACCTTCAAGATAAAAGACATTTTTACATAACCTATTATGAAAATGATAAAGAGAATCTAAGGATTCCTATGGTTATCAAAACCATGTTGCTTTTTCAAATCTACTCGTGTACATCATTGTCAGCTGCCCATGCAGCATCCATTTCTCCCTCCGTCCTTCCTAACGGACCCATTTCTGCTTTGTCTTTCCCAGCCCCAACTCCAGGCGGTTAGGCCTAACCAACCTGGGCCAGTGCATCGCAAGCCCATGTCCCTTGCTAGTGACAGCTCAGGAACCCAGGCTTAAATCAACCAGCCCACGGCCACCTCCTGGCAACCGTGTGATGCAGAAGGCGTGGGCACCAAGTGCTCCCAGTCAGAGGAGAGGGAAAGATCTATACTCCATGCCTGGGGACTTCTTCTCTTTCCCTGCCGCGTGTTAAAAAGGAAGGAAGGATTATCCTAATTGATGCTCACAATCATTTTGCAACCATGAGGGAACCAGCTAGGATGAAGCCCACTGTGGCTGTTGGAGCAAGAGAAGGAACCAGCCAGCCCTGGAGACTGGCCTATCTCTAGACTTAGAGCTGGGTAAGCTACTAGATTTCCTTACTTGGTAAGCCACATGGAGTTATGCTTTCCTTCACTCGAAGCCCAAATCATCCCGAGACAAGATTATCATTTTTAATGAATATGAAAACCCACGGTAGGGAAAACATTAAGCATAAATAAGTGAAGGAATTGCTGTAGGATCGGGCCTTTTAAAAGCAGCTAATAATCCCATAGCTAACACTGCTGAGTGCTTTTATACACCATGGAATTTTCTAAGCATTTTGCATATACTATTTCATTTAATCCCCATAATCACTCTATGAGGTAAAAACTACTGTTGTCTCCCTTTTACAAATGAGAATACTGAGGTTCGGAGAATGAATCCACTCGTGCGAGGTTAAACGGTAAAGTCAGGACATTTGACTCCAGAGCTTGGCACTAAATCCCTACATCACACCTTCAGAGAACAGCCCTTTCTAAGAGGACACGGATGCGGAAAACCCTGCTCAGGAAAGCGCATTTGGGGCAGTCTCGCTTCAATAACATAACACCTCCTTTGCCCACTTTTCAGGGATATTATGAAGACAAAATATGATGATTTATAATCATCATCCTTATCACCACTAATATTTCATCTAAAACTTACAAAATATCGTATATTCATTCCCATAGACCTGAGAGGAACAGTTCACCTCAGTTTACTCATTTTTTAAAATGCGGATTTTGCAATAAATTACTAAAGTTTCTCTCAGCAATTCGATTATTCTAATGCTGATGTTTACAAAAGGTTGTCTAGGCAACCTCTGAGCATTCGATGGTCAAAGAGCTGTAGCGCTCCACGCGCCAAGGGTGATGACAGACAGAGGGTCCAGTCCACATCCTGGGCAAAAATACCCACAGTTATTATTGTTAACATTGCCAGCTTACTATAAATACCTCTTCCTTCCCCACATCTGTGATACGTATAACCCTCTAAATGTGGAAAGAACTATCTAGTAGGAAAAAAATAGTAAGATTAGTTTGGGAAGGATTTCTTAAATTACTCCTCAAGAACAATGGGTGAAATTCATCAGGAAAAATAAAAGGCTCTATAAAAGTGGAAATGCACAGAGCCTGTTGGGCAGCAGGAAGCGAGTCAGCGTTCTAGCCAAACCACCCTGGAAGCCGCTGTCACCAAATGCCAGTCCCACACACTTGCAGGGCACCAAACCCCTCCCCAGTTCAAGGAGCTCTACCCAGGACTGGGACCATTGGGAAGTGTTACAAAGGCAGACTCTGGGAACCCATCCCCACAGGATCTGAGTCTGTAGGTCTGGGGGGTGGCTTGGGCCCCACTTTAGCAGGACCCCGGAAGGTCCTCAGCCCACACCTGGATCAACACTACGCAGAGCCCTCTCCCGGCCCGTGTGTATCTCCCAAGGAGGAACAGAGCTTCTGCAAAGGCAACCGCTTTGCAAACTTCTACCTCAGTGGCACCAGAGCAAGTCTGGATCCTAGAGAACTAGTTTCACTTGCTAAATAAGTGCCTAAGTGCCTATGGGTGGAGCAGCACTGAAAATTCCCATTAATAGGATTTAAAAGAGTGTTTAATTTAAGAATACTTTGGAAGCAAAAATTTAAGCTTTCTCACAGCTCTGAAAAGGACTGAAATACTATGCTACTAATGAGTAATTGTGATGGACCCAGCTGTGGAGACGAAAATTTCGGGAACTCTTTTAGATCTCTACAATTAGGAAGGCTCTTTAATGCCCCCAAGCATGAAAGCTGGTGGTTTTCTCTAACAGCCTTTTTAATTGAACAATGTGCCAGAGTTTCTAATTTCTGGTAAAGTAAAAGACGCCGAAAATAATTCTCTGCAGAAATATAAAGAATTTTAATAAATCTTCAAAAAAGTGATGCAAATTCTAGGCTTTTTGCAACCCTAGAGCCAATTTTCAATTATCCACCAAACTAGAGGCAACCACATCGCCAGGGTTTCTCAACCGCAGCAATACTAACATTTCGGGCTGGGTAATTCTTTCCTGTGGAGGGGCCGTCCTGTGCATCGCAGCGGGATTAGCACAGTCCCTGGTGTCTGCACACTACATGCCTCTAGCAGCCCCGCCCCAAATACACACACACTTGTGACAACCAAAAACGTCTCCGGACATTGCCAAATGCCCCTGTTGAGAACCACTGCACATCACGATGGAAAGTTAAAATAGAACCTTCAAAGCTGACCTCTGGGCTCCGGCGCCAGAACCCACGGGGGCTGGCACTCATGCTGCCTCCTCAACCCTGACTCCATCCCTTTTCCTCCGGCTCTGTGCGGTTCCCCCTCCTGCTCCCAGCTTCACCTGGCTGGCCCGGGGCACCACGGGGTAAGTGACAGTATTAATAAGAGCAGCAGAAGCTCTCATTTAATGAGTGAGCAAGTGAGCAAATGCTCAGCACTTCATCTCCTGCAGTCCTCATACCACTCTGCGCGTTGGCGTTATTATCCCTCTTTTACAGATGGCAAGACGAAGACTGGACAGGTTAACTGACTGGCCTAATTTCACTCGGCTTCTAAGTGGCGGAGGCAGGGTTCCAAACTGGCTCTACCTGACCTCAGGGCCTGCGCCTGCTCTTACCACTAAAAACACTGTTGCTTTTCCCAGGGTTGGGGGACACTCCTTCTGTTTCCAAGTGGCAGGACCCCCATTACAGTGACTCTCCTTCTCTCTGCCCCAGAACTCATTCTTCTGGGGATGGGGGGACAGCTACCAACTTATCTGATGGGTGGACTGGGAGAAGGAACTGGGCATGCCCAGTCCCACCCTCTCTCCTGGCTTCTGGGATCTGCCTGCGGGCACAGAGTGCATAGTCTGGACCTCCTCCCGCCACAAATCAGGCGCTGGCCCGGAAGCCTGCGGTGGCCCAGTTCCTCAGGCGACCTGGTACACAGGTTTCACTCTGGGGGCAGCAGCAGGAAGCCTACCTGGGTACAAGTTTAAGCCGCACCCTCTGAAGAGTTTCATCAGCTATTACGCTGATTTACTGATCTTCATCCCCCTGACTCCTGCATTCACCTCTCGCTTCATTCCAGACTGGAGCAGGAAACCGGCATCACTGTGGGACCCCCTCAGTACCCAGTATGGAGCACAATGCCTTGCACATACACATTCTCAACGCACAGGGCTGTGCTGGCTATCCAGGCTGTGGTGATCTGACAAGGACTTACTCCACTCCTACACAATCCTTTCAGTTTCACAGTGATGTAAACCCAAGACAAATGCCTGGATTACATCCTCCTCCCTTTAAACTTTTTAAAAATCAAGTTATAAATGAGCAGGTCAACCAATGCGCTCCAGCTGGCCTTTAACTGCTCCTCCCCTCTCCTTGATGGCGATCCCCAGGGGCAAGGAGACTGACCACAAGTGGAAAGCTTCAGGGAATGTTCCATACACAACTCCTGAGGGACGGCTGCGTCTATCCGGGTAATTCTGTTTCAGCTATTGTCTTCCTCTAAGAATGACACTGCCTTTTCCAAACTTCTCCCACTCAAAATGTTAAAGAAACCATGAGAACAATGTCCTGAAAACTTACCAATTTTTCCTATGAGATTATTTTGAAGGTACAGGATTTTTAAATCCCGGCACCATTTGTCGATATGTTCTAGTCTCTCTATTTCTTGCTGATGCAAGGAGAGTTCCTCCAGGGAGAAAATCACACAGTCATTGTGTTCAGCATTCCGTCTAATAAGATCTTCTGTGACTGAAAGAAAATTCGTTACATATTAACATCTCCGTCCCCGTGTTCATAGTCAGGTTATCGCATAACTAATGTAGTGGGCTTTCTTTGCAGTTAAATGTCAATTCTCTGGCTCCAGCGATTTCCAGAAGGAAAGCGATCAGAGAAGTGCTGCCTCCTGCTGGCCTTTTTGTGACGTCACGCTGAGTCAGAGGGAAGACATGATGATAAACAGCTTCGTCCTTTTTGTGCTGGATCGACACATACTTTGCTTTATGGATACACACAGAGTTGATGGGTGATGACCATGACAATGTTGATATGGAATCTTGTGGTGGTATCACGTTGAACTGGATGAGACCCGCTAAGAAATCCAGGACAAAGCAACTTGCTACAGAGAGGCACAGTTGGGCTGACGGAGGGCAGAAATACGAAAGCACCTCCCACTGTTCAAAAAGGAAAGGCTCATTCATTCATTCCACTGATATTTATTCATTTAACTGAAGTTGAAAAGAAAGGAGAGGAAGAGTCTAGATTCTGCATTGCAATCTTATAAAGCAATCACCACTTGGTCTGTTTCCAGGAGGAATAAAAGCTGCTCAGAGGAGGAGGGGTAATCAGGGTCCCCGCCCCTCTGACAACAGTCCTGTGTAGCACCGGGCTGGCCTGCCCCAGCTGGTCAGGACCATGTGACGAGGACAGCACCAGGGAACCAGAGACAATACCCTGGCCCGTGGCTGGAGCCAAGAACAGGACAGCAGTCCTCTTCATGGGATGCACTAAAATCAGCAACATAATGACAATGGAGAAGCCCTGCATTTCCCAGCGCTATTAAAAAAATTATTAATCCATCTGAACCCTCACATTTTAAGTGGAATGTAGAAATATTTCATGTCCACCCGAAGAGCTAAGACAGACTCATTTATTGCCATTTTCAAGGCGCCAGGCACTGTCCTAAATGCTCTGCATGTATTAACATATGAGTAGGTGCAATTATTATCTACAGTTCTCAGCTGAGGAACTGAGGCACAGAGAGTTTAAATAACTTGCCCGAGGTCTTGGTGGTAAGTGGTGGAGCCAGGTTTAAGTTTAGGAGTCTGGTGCCCGACCACATCCTCTTAACCGCTATGCTAGACTGCCCCCACCATGAGCAAATAAGAGCCTCTGGAGCTTTCTCAGGCTTCCTAAGTGTGCAAGCCCCTCCAGCTGGGACAGTTCTTCACGGCACCTTCAGCTTCCTCGCTTCTACGCCACATCCTTACAAGTGGAGTTTGCCCCTTTCCTACGTGAAGACATGTGTGAACTTGATCATCTGTGTGCAATTAGCTGGACCCTTTGCTAGTTCTGGTGGTAGGAGATGGGGCTGCTTGCAATGACAGTTCTTTGGAAGAAGGACAAGAGAGACGTAGAGGTTGAGAGATGAAAACACCATATACGGGCAATGCCCCTGCTGCTCAAAGCTTTGGCTCAACTAACAGGCAGCGAGGGCTGTGAATGGGTCCTGGGGAGTGGCAGGTCGAGGGGGCTGGAGGATGGCTAAGAAGGCAGCCATGCTAGCCCTGGCTCGCCGAGTTCCCGACTGTGTGCTACACTGCACGGTCTCTGGATACCACTATAAGAAGCAAGATGACAAAAATCACTATGAGTTGACAGGGGTGGGGAATAAGGGGACCTCCCTTAGTATAAATAATTTACACACATGCACGCACACACACAAGGGAGAGGAGAGACTAAGAGTTCATTCAGCACAACAAGGAAGGTTGCCCAACGGCAACGATGACACACGGTTAGCATAGATTAAAAGAAAACGGAGAATCACAGAGCAAGGGAGAGCTGTGAAGGTCTGGAATTTCCCAGCAGCCCTTTTCTGAACTCTTGTATACTAAGCAGACTGCTGCGCAGCACACTGTTTACAGCACTCAGGAAATTGTTGCTGCACAATCCCACGTCACCTGTAATGGCAAGCATCAGTGCAAAACCCAGGGTCCCTGCGAAGAAAGGTGTAAGAATTCCTACAGGGGGAATGGAGATTAGAGTGCTTCACGCTTTCCAATAGGAAAGCATGTGGCAGTTTTATGTACTATATAATTTAGACCAGACATTCTGTAACTCCAAGGAGCACTGTTCCCCTTTAGGAAGTCCCACTCCAAATAATACAGCCCTGCATTTCCCAGAAATCACTCCAGGATTGGAAAATGCTTTGGAAGCATTAACATGTCATCATAAGACTGTTTCAAGAGAGACGGCATTACAACGCCTATCATATAGTACAGGAGAAGATGCCCAGGCACGATATGATACATACTTCTTTCATGTCCTTATTTTGGAAAAATTCAAATAGCAAAATACAGGGTTCCGATGAATTCTGAGAAGGGTCCCACCCATAGAAGCTCACCCCAGATCCACATGACCGGAGAACTGAGGGGTTGAGGGTGAAGAATATGGACAGTTTTAACCACACATTCACATTTATCTCATTGCTGCTGAAGAATCCAAAGGCTTAACCCAAACTGACAGCTAGCCCAGGCTTCTTTTCAATTCCTCACCGTGATGGGGTTCTCAACAACTTGAGGGAGTGTCAATAAAATGACTCTGCGGGGTAGCGGGTAAAGGGCAGAGGAGAAGGTTTCTGCAATATGGGAGGTTGTCATGCTATGCTTGCTCGCACAAAGCTTGTCTTTGTATTGGGCAAAGTTCTAGAAATTCCCAAAGCCAACAATTTAGTGCTGAGTCCTTCAGGCTTTATATCATGTTTCATAAACAGCCCTGTACCTCTCGCTGGATTAGGAAAAAAGAATCAATAATATATGTTTATGTGGCAGATTTTGCAGAATTTTTAAACGTCTTGAAAGACTTAGCAGATACATCTATGAAACTGAGATTTAATAGAAATGAAGGGGTTACAAGCAGGTGAAGGATACCTCTTGTAGCATTTAAACTTTTTTTTCTTTATTGTTTTCAATGGAAACTTTTAAAAACAGGATTACTAATTTGCCCTACTGTTTTTTTTAGTGACTCAGGGTCATCATAATGAGCTTTGGTGGCCATACAGCACCCTAATCCAATGATACCCTTGCGGCAATTTACGTAGAGAATGCTATTTAAAAACAGGGATAAAAGTGCTACAGGCAAGGAGAGTTGTAAACAGAAAGTACAAGTACAAAGGAGGGAGTGATCAGTGCTATTGAGTGACAGCAGGGAGGTCAAAAGAGGCATCCTGGACAAGAAGCCTGAGCTGAATCTTGAAATGTGAGTAGATACTTGCCAGATAAACAAATGAGGAAAGGGCACTCCAGGCCAGAGTGCGTGCTCTGATGCGCTGCCCAGTTCCTCCTTTAAAACTGAAGGATGAGTTCTTCTAGCTGCTGGGAGTTCTGCCAGCACGCAGCCCTCAGCTGCCCACCTTCTTCAGAAGTCTCCTCAGCTGAACAGACACTGCAGCCAAGGTCATGCCCCTTCCCAGGAAAGCCCATATCCAGTGACTGGTGCATGCGGAGCTCTAAAGGCCCAGCCGTCTTATCCCAACTTGGGAACATCAGACGGTCCATTCCAAGGTTAGAGCTCCTTCCACATTTCCAGGTTGGTTGGCTAAGGCCTTTGTTAAGATGCATCACAGCCCAACCTCCCTCTCTGCCAATCTTGCTTTCTTCTCTACCCACTCCAACAACACTTCCCAATAAACCTCCTGCATGCAAATCTCCATCTGAAAGTCTGCTTCCCAGGGAACCCAGCCAGGAAGAGCTGATAGCAGAAGTGGTACATGAAAGCAGATGCTCACTAGGATGGGACTTTGCAGTTGGATCCTGCCGCCTGAGTGGCAATGAGGACACCATTACTCGTGGTAGGTGGAGCACAGATAGTGCCTGGCACAAGGTAGCTGTGCAAAGTTTAACACCTGCGCTGGTGTTGAAAAGAAATGGGATCTTAGTCCATTCGGAATACTACAGGGGGATTATAAACAACAATTTATTTCTCACGGTTCTGGAGACTGGAAATCCAAGATCAAGGGATGGGCAGATTCAGCGTCTGGCCAGAGCCCGCTTCCCCCTTGGTGGCAATCTCCCATGGTGGAAAGGGCACTCGGGGTTTCTGGGGCCTCTTTCACAAAGGCGATAATCCCCGTCACAAGGGCTCTGCCTTCATAACCTTATCACGTCCCAAAGGCCCCACCTTTCTAATCACCTTGAGGGTTAAGATTTCATCATAGGAATTTCGGGAGCACGCTAACATTCAGTCTATAGCAAATGGGATAGTGATGGAAGGGAACGCACTAGTAACTGTGACACGTCAGGCACCAGAGGAATATGGGAGAAAGGGTAACTTAGAGCACCGTCGTATTGAGCCTGCGGCTAAAAACAATTGATAGGAAAGGCTGAGAGTGACTAATCAGACATTAAAGCTAAGGGTGAAAACCAGGGTACTACATCAGTAGCATATGAAGAGGTTTTCTTCCTGAAACCAGAGAGTAGAGAGGGCAAAGAACCAGGACCAGGGCTTAATCTTAGAGTAGCAAAGACTTCAGGTTCCAGACGTGATGGAGTCATAGGGCCAGGATTTAACTTCCAGCCTAAAATAACTAAAATCCAGACAAAACAGGTCAAAGTAATGTTCAAAAAAAATCAGACATCAAGAAATCTAAAGGCAAATTAGAAGGTATTTTGAACAGAATGAAACATGAAAAAAAAAGCATATCAAAATGTGTGGGATGTGGCTAAAACATAACTTGGATAACAATTTATAGAACCAAATGCCTATAGCAAGAAAGAAAAAAGGTCTCAAAAATCAGCTTTGTCTTTAAGAAACTAGAAAAAGAACAAATTAAACCCAAAGTAAGTGTAAAGATTACACCACCAATGAAATGGAAAACAGAAAAGCAATAGAGAAAAATCAATAAAAATTCTGTAAGAAAATAAAATTGGTCAACTTCCAGCCAGACTGACCAGTAAAAAAGAAAGACATAAATGACCAATGTTAGGAATGAGAGAGTGACATGATATAGATAGCACAGATATTAAAAGGATAAT